TCGAAACTCGATTCCATCGTGACGACATGACCACTCCATCCCACCAGTTTTTGCGATACGTTCATGTAATGAGGAATGTCTCACCGTGGCCAAACTGGAAGATTTGGTATCCCCAATTACCAACCGGATACGAATGGTACGACGTCCAGAGGAAACATACCTGTTCACTTTCATTCATGTGACTGATTATGATAGTGAATGAAAATGAATTTCCTGTGATTTGAATGAAAATGAATTTCCTGTGATTTGAATGAAAATGATTGAAGCATTCCGTCATTTTAGATGAGTGACTGTGAATGAAAGGATTTCTCACTCATTTCATTTTTCATCCTGTGCTTAATACATGGGGCGAAGTAAGAAATGAAGTCAGATGAAGTGAAATGAAATGAGTTTGAAAGAAAATGACTGAATTTGAATGTGTCAGAAATCGGGATGATTGAACTTTGAATGAAAAAAAGTTTTTTTTTTGAACAGGTATGAGAGGAAATGGACCGTAAAATACATCCAAGACTTGAATTGGTTTCTTCACCCCAGTAGAGGACACCACGTCAAGAGTTTATCGTTGCATTCATTCCTTAATTCCAACCGGGATTACTGGTTATTTCTCAAACCCATTACTCAATTGAAGGACACATTGGAAGAATTGCGACTCGACATCGAAATCAAAATCTTGGACCAGTATGGCAACGAGACTAAATATCACTTGGATGATCCTATTATATTCAAAATTCTGAAGAAATTTTCACTAAGCCTCACTCCCCGTGAATTTCCACGTGTCCTCAATAATCTAGAATTGGCTGCCCCTTGGATGAAAAATTGGGCGGATGCGATCCAGCGCGTCGAATCCATCTCTACACGCGGGTGTGCTTTTCTAGGGTCACGATTTGCCCAGGAGTTACAAAACAATGCGGAGTCTTATCAAAATTTGAAGGATATCCGGTTAACATGCGAGCCATCGCTTGCATTAAATTTTCTCGCTGAGTTGACCACCCAAACCGTGACGAATTTGACGCTCACCATACCCCTGGAAGTACGAGACCTTCCAGACTTTGAGAATTTGCTCAAGAAATTCGCCCCATCCTTGGAATTACTGTGTTTTTTAGTCTCCACGAAACGCTTTGGAGCAATCGTCCTCAATCTTCCGTGTCTCCCAAGACTGAAAAAGTTGGATTTTTATTTTGCCCTCTTTCGAGACATCCGTACTTCCGAAATCGGTGAAAATCAGTTTCATACAATCAACCACGTGGCCCGATTCCGGCTCTCGTTCCCTCCTCCTCGTTTTGGTGGGGATGACCTCAGCATCGAGTATGAACGGCACCTTCCCTCGATTCGGGGTATCGTCGTGAAACCAAAATTTTACGTGGGTCCGGCCGAATTTTGGGACACGTATAGCGACCTGTTTGACAGTCTGCTACCAAAAGAAGAAGGACAAACTTGTCAAACTCTGCAATGCTTGGAAATTCCGACGTGGGATGGTAAAATTGGTGGAGTATTTCTTCAAGCTGGCCGGGATGGGAAGATTGGTTGGCCGACCTGGAATTGGCATGGATATCATCAAGCTGGCCGATTACCGAAAGTCTTTCCAAATGTGAGGAACGAATGGATGAACGAGTTACTAGAGATGGGAACGATTTAAGAACTTGATACAAAGTAGGTAAATGTACATTCATTCATGAATTCATATGTACCAGTGTGGAAGTGAAGATGATGAATAGGACATTATCAATAAAATACATGAATTGATTTGTGAACTTTCGACTTGTGTACTTAAAAAATTATTTTAAATTTGGAAAATATCCTTCGGAGCGAGGGAGAAATATGGCTCGCCGACAGAAAGCTTATATCGAAAGCGCATGGAATGCTCCAAATTGCATTTGACAGAAATCGGGTCACGCATTCTGACCGAATTCGGGTTACGGATTCGGAGCGAAGGTTTTTTTGCGGCAAGATCCCACATGTGGGCCGAAATCGCTAATTGAATTTGGAAATCCATCTCGGATCAGGCCAAAGGTCTGACCAAAGGTCCATATTACATATATAAAATTTCCCTGTCAACGACGATGCCAAAAACCGGATAAAACCAATAGAAAACAAAGTTCTTGAAAAAGTGCCAACAAATTCCTCAACTGCACTTCTTCCTCTGTTCTCCGAACCACGACCTGTTTCTCCTTTGGAATGACAACGTCACAGAAGATGCCATTCTCCAAATCAAACCTGTCCCTCATCGCTGTCGCCATCGCGGTCGTGATGACCTTGGACCACGTCCCTTCCGCTGAAGGCGAGTGCATCAGATATTAAAATTCAGTGCTTTGTTATTTGCGAATTTGCTTTATTTTTTGCATAGCAAAGCAAAAAACGCAAGAAATGGGAGGTGCAAGAAACTGGGAGAAAGTGCAAGAAACATGCGCCAACCAACCACGCGGCGTATGAAGTATTTATACCGCTGGGGCGTCGTTTCTTGAACCGTGCATTTCTTGCAGGTCAAAATATTTACCTGCAAGAAACCATACTTTCTTGCCGTTATTGCTTCCAAGTGGTTAATCGCACCCGATCCAATTAAACCACCCGACATGCAGATTACCTGTACTTATCTATTAAAATTTGCATCTTTTTCTTACTTTCCGCTATAGGCTTGAAGTGCTACATATGCACCGGAAGAATAAATTCTTCGATAAGTAGCGAAGGGAAACAGTACCAGTACCAGAAGCCGGCCGACACCCAGCTGGATAAAATTCGACGGTCTGACCAGGTTTACATAGAGAAAATGGACAGAGCCATGCCTTGCAAGGACTTCACTTCCACGACTCAAAAAGAAGATAGGGCCCAGGTCGAATGTCCATTATTTATGTCAAGTACATGTATTTTTTGATACCAAGCAAACATTTTGAGTTTGAATTTATGAGGCTCGACTTTCCCTTCTACCAAGTGGCGATTGGAAACCTGTTCATATCCGTGCGTTTTTTGTGCAAAATGAAGATTTTATTGCAAACAAAAATCCATAATTTTTACGTTTTCAAAGTTAAGAGGTTAGACTTTTGATTTTTTCTCCAATGTGAAAATATTTAATGTTTACTAATCACCTATTATCTGTTTTAACATACAAGAAAAAATCAAGGTTACAACCTCCTAACTTTACAAAGCTAAAAATTATCGATCTTAAGACACAATAAAATCTTCATTTTTATAAAATGCAGGGGGATGAACAGCTTTCAAAATCGCTATTTGAGCAGATGAAACAAGGGAAAGTTGAGACACAAAAATTCCAATTCAAAAACCGGAAATACAATGCCACCTTAATTTATGAAATTTCTTCTAATCCGGCTGTTTCATCCTTGTTCCAGATTCAATTTGTGTCACCAGCAAGACTCATTGCAGAGAATGTTCCTTTAACTATCCAGTCGAGATGGGTCCCAAATTCGCACCCATGAATACCTGCCCAGAGGGGGCGTTAGACTGCAAATGCAACAGGAATTTGTGTAATGGCGTGGTGTTTGGTGCCAGCAAGGCAGGAAATATGAATGACTCGTCGAAACGCGGCGTCGTCGCCCTGCTCGGTGTCAGTTTTTTCGTACGAGGCTACTTTGGCGGCGGTGGTGAAGGCTTCTTTTGAATCCTGGCGCCAATTACTACTCATGCCAAAAAATATTTATATACATATATTCATTCATAGCTTGAAATGTTGTCGGACTCGATTTATTACTTTTTGGAACCAATGCACAAGTCCATTTGTACACAAATTCATAAATTTATTGGGTAAATGGGGAGCGAATAAAGTATAACTAAAATCTTTAAATTAAGCTTAATCTTAATTTTAAGGCCTATGCGTTGGCTTCGTGTCCTTGCCTATCTCCACTGCCAATGAAATAACCTTGGGGATAATCAGCTATGGGGGTATCCAATTTGTGCAGTTTAACCCAATTTTCTTGCAAATTCTTCAAATTCTTCAAATTTACAAATTCTTCAATTTGCAATTTTCTCTACCACAACAAGAACGGGATCAACACTTGACTCAATCAAAACTTAATCCCATTTTAGTCACCGCTTGTGGATTAAAATTGATTGAGTGAAAGTTGGAGTAGTGATTAAAATTCTAAAATTAGGGATTAAACGATTCACATTAAAGCATAAGGCTTAATTAATCACTAATCATAATCTCAAGGTTGTAATCCAGCCTTGACCAAAGTCTCAATATATGTACTAGACATGTATCAGAGTATAGAGGTGTTAACCTTATCAAGCTGTGGAGCTTATCTTAATACCCATAACAAGTACTACTTATTTCGGGATGATGAAGCCTTATGAACAGTTAATTCGACGTCATGAAGGCATACCAATCACTTGAACATAGAATTTCGTAATGTACAATTCGGGTATATTATATAAATTGGAAAATATGTTGTACAAACACTCATAAGTCTGCCGTCGGGCCTGCAAGTAGAAAGCTTGGGCAGCAAGAATACATAAAATTGCAAAATCATATTTGCAACCATTGCAAATATCTAAATCAGGTTGGTTTAATCTTCTGTAATCATTAACATATTAACTTTTTTACGTAATCTTTATCGTATTTTCGACAATTAGCTGAGTACCGATCATTGACCATGGATTTTCAACATCCATTTCACCACGGAGTGACCACCGGATCCTCGTCCCGAATTTCGACCTGGTGGACGTGGACGTGGCCAAGCTGGGGGTCCGATGATGACAGCGGTCCTGCCACGCAATGCTCCTCCTGTGGCGCTTATATTTACGGGAGTCACACCTGCTCAACTTAACGCTTACATTTCAAACTCAAATTTTGTGTGCCAATTTTTATACTTAATCATAATGAATGTCATGTGAAATATTAATGTGAATAAAGACTGAAGAATTGACATTCATTTTTTACGAAACGAAGAAAGCGAGTTTTTCAAAATTTTGAAAAAAAAAAATATTTAATTTTTTTTTTACATTTTGAATAACAGAACTCAAATATAATTAAACTTAAAATTGTCACCGAATTCTGTCCCGATTTTGCTACAGATAATTTATTACATTTTATAAAAGTTACAATAAATACCCAATCAAAAATAAATGGCGATAAATTAACAATATTTATGTCACGACTCCTCACTCCTGCTTAGGACTAGCTCTTATATAAATATTCGCCACAGCACCTTCACACCAATTCATGCCAATATTACTAATTCGCAAATAGTCCAACTCGTCCCCTCCAACAGGATCCAGATCTTCCGGGGTTGTAGTATAGTTGTTGAAACGGTACGGAAATCCGATAAATTTTATGTGGTCAATTGTTGTCGACGGCATGTCGACGATGTTCTCGTCGTCGCAAATTGTGGCGTCAACCACGGAAATCGTTACGTTAATGGACACCTCGTCCGAGGTGAAACTCGTCGTGACTTCGAAGTGGATTTCGGCGGTGAGGGGGACAGATTTGCTCATTCCCGCATCCGCCAAGAGCGTCCCGACGCTTTTTTGGTTCGGAAGTAGGGTCACGATCAGAGTGTAATTACCATTCCGCGATTCCGTGATAGAACGGCCTTCCGGGTTTTGCTGGATAAAAAGGGGATAATTTTTCGTTAAATTTTAGGCTAAAACTTTTTTTTCGTATTTTAGGCCCAAATTTTCTTCAAATTTTATGCCAAAATTTGCTAATTTGTCAAAAAAAATTGTGTAATAGTTAGAAATATTGGAGAAAAAGTATTTAGTTTCGTGATTTGATTTTTTTCGTATTTTAGACCCAAATTTTCTTCAAATTTTACGCCAAAATTTTCTAATTTGTCAAAATTTTGTGTAATAGTTACGAAAATTGGGGAAAAAGTATATAGTTTCGTTGTTTGATTTGCACTTTGACTTAAAAAAAAATCAACTGTGGTTAGAGACATAAATTTCTCTGTGCATTTCAATAAGATCTTTTTGGAAGTAATTTTTCATATTAATTTTTTTATAATGATTGACGGAATTGAAGTTTTACAATTTATTTTTGTCTCATATTTCAATTGTAAATGCACTTTTTTCAAATTTTTAGGACAAAATTTACTAATTTATGAAATGTTTACAAAAAAACGGGGAAAAAGAATTAATATCGTGATAGAATTTGTAATTTGAATGTCTTCAAAATCGACAATAGTTTTATTTTAGGTTATAAATTTCTATAGGCAGATAAATAAAATCTGGGAGTTATTATCATATTTATTTTTACCTTAATTTCATTCATGGAATTTAAATTTAACAGTTTAGATATTTTGTATCTCGACATTTCATATTTAGGTAAATTTTATGCCTATTTTACAAGTTTTAGGCCAAAATTTAAGCATTTGTCAAAATTATCACAAGTTTTTTTTGTAATAGTTTAGAAAAACTGGAAAAAATAATTATTTTCGTGATTTAATTTGCAGTTTCATTTTTTTAGTGAACTGTAGTTTTTTTAGTTATTAAATTCACTTTACATTTTAAAATGATCTTTAATTTCAAAAAAATCAACTGTAGTATTCTTTAGGTTATAAGTTTCTGCTGGGAGTGTGATCGTATCTCGTAATTCTCCCTGCATTCATTTTTAGAATAATTTAATTCACGGAATTGAAATTTGACAATGTATTTAAATCCCGTAAATATTTCAATAGTAAATGCAATTTTTTCCAATTTTCAGGCCAAAATTAAATATTTGTCAAAAAATTGGTAATAGATACTTACGAAAAACGGGGAAAAAGTAATTATTTTCTTGATTTAATGTGTGCTTTGAAGTTCCTTAAGTCAATTGCAGTTTTTGGTTACAAATTTATGTTCAACTTTAACATTATCTGGGAGTTATTTTTATTATAATGATTTGTATGATAGTTATTCACGGAATTGAGGTTTGACAATTTATTCGGATCTAGTATTTCAAGTTTAAACGCATTTTTTTTTCAAAATTTAGGTCAAAATTAACTGATTTGTCAAAAATATTTTTAAAACATTTGAAGTTTTTTTAATTACCAAAACCGAGAAAACAAAAAATATTATAGTTATTCTTCATCTTCCTTCACTTCTTACATCACTGTGTAGTGGTCGAGATCATGTAGTGAGTGAGACGCGCATGCCTATGTTCAAAGTAGAAAAAAGAGGGTTTGGTGAGCTCCTGCTGGGCGCCGAGAGAACCATTGTCTTTTTCATAGCAGTGCAGTGTGGATGTGTGTGCCTGAGCTCCCGATTTTTCGTTCTTCAACGGATTTTTTCTCGCCGGATTTTCGAGTGGGTGTTTCCCGTCTTTCCCTCCTGAATCAACAAGGTAAGGTAACCATTTTTTACGAGGGTGGGCAGTTTTTCCACGTAAGAAGGATGTTTTTGCCACAAGAAAAATAACAGTAAAATAAAATCTCTGAGCAACCTTGAATAGGTACGGGAATTGGTGCCTATACGGCCCAAATAAAATCCCGAGGTGTTCCTATACGGCCCTCACCTAGATTCTAATTAGAATTATTATGTCGCAGAATTATGACAACCCCAAGAGCATCCTGGGATCTTAATTTATCAGATGAATCTGATAATGAAGTTGAGAATACGGCAAATGTGAATTCTGAGGCGAATGCTTTTGCAAATTTGTTCAATGGATCAGGCGAGAAGGGTAAATTTTTGTGCTCACTAATCCTATCAATTGATATTCATTTGACCTGTTTATATTTACGAGCAAATGATTGTTATTAGGAATTGATAATGTGGCCCCTTTGGATAGTGAAATTCAAGATTTGTTAAGGGATGTGGAGAAATCAATTGAATTTGGGCCGGAGATAATGGCTGAAGTTGCTGAGGGCTTTAATAAAACAATGTGTCGTCCACTATCAAAAGAGACCTCAGACAATTTGAAAAATAATTTCAAGATCCCAATCAATTGTAAACCGTTTGTTATTCCAAAAATGAATCAAGAGATTTGGTCACACCTCCCAGGGCCGGCTCGTTTTATCGATTTAAATATGCAACAAAATCAATTCTCCCTTGGAATTGGACTCAATGCTTTGGCACAAATTGCAAATGAAGTTGCGAAAAATGCAAGCAATATACCAAAAGAGGTGAAGATTTCCATTCTTAAACTTGCAATTGACGGGGGAAATATTTTGGGTGACCAAATCCAATCAATTTCCAAAAAGAGACGACTTGAAGTAAAAAAGCACATTAACTCTGAATACCACGGGATATGTAACTCGCAGGTATTTTTTCTAGTAATAATTTTTTGTAAACAAAAAATTTGAGGGTGTGCTAAATGCAAAATTTTTGTGTAAAAGATTCCAGTCTCAGAATTTCTCTTCGGTTCCGATCTGAACGAAACCTTAAAAGCTTCCAAAACTGCATCCAATGTTATTCGCAAGTCATTTACTCGTCAAGGACAGAACCAACGTCCCCAGCCTTATTTTAATCCTCGCAGTTCTTTAAACTTGAATCGCCCAAGGCTCTTCACTCCCCAGAGGCAGCAGTTCGGGCAGCAACAGAGGGGAGGAATGTTTCCACGTCGACGTTGGCAAACAAAAAACTTTCTTCAACAATCAACTCCACATTATCAAAACCAGAGGAAGTAGCAAGTCATCAAGCTAATAAAAATCAGGCAGGTCAACTAAAATATTTTGTTAATGAGTGGCAAAAAATTACTAAGGATAGGTTTGTGTTAAGAACCATTCAGGGATATAAAATTCCATTCGAATCTGAGCCACAACAATTATCTGAGCCTAATAATCCACAGATGAGTGAAACAGAGTCCAAATTTATTAATGATGCGATTTCGGAATTAGTTATAAGTAGCGCAATCAAAATTTCTGAAGAAGAAGCTGGACAATTTATTTCACCAGTCTTCACAGTTGCCAAATCAGACGGGGGCCGTCGATTTGTTTTAAATTTAAAGAAACTTAATACTTTTATTTTTGCACCGCACTTTAAATTAGAAGATATTAGAATGGCAAAACAGTTAGTTAGTCCAGGGTGCTACATGACGGTGATTGATCAGAAAGATGCTTACTATATGATCCCAATAGCTCTCGAATCTCAAAAGTATTTAAAGTTTCGATGGAATGGCGTCCTGTACGCATACACTTGTCTTTGTTTTGGTTTGAATTTGGCCCCCTGGTTATTCACAAAAATTATGAAGCCAGTTCTAGCTTATTTACGATCAAGGGGATTTCAAAACGTGAGCTATTTAGACGATTTATTAACAATAGGAAGAACTTTAGAAGCTTGTCTTGTCAACCTTCAGTTCACAATTAAATTATTTGAAGAGCTAGGAATCAGAATAAATTTTAAAAAGTCTCAATTAATTCCTTCTCGTGAAGTTAAATTTTTAGGATTTGTAATTTGTTCAATTGATATGAACTTAACCCTTCCGATATCAAAGAAAAACAACCTTGTACAAAAAATAATTAAGTATTTGTCTTCCAATTGTAACACAATTCATAAGTTAGCTGAAATAATTGGTATTTTGATTTCTGTCTGTCCAGCTGTGAAGTATGGTCAGCTTTACACACGACAATTAGAGATTGAAAAAACTTTAGCACTGGAAAATTCAAATAATTCATTTTTGGCAAAAATGGTGCTGTCTAACGAAGCTATTAAAGACCTAAATTGGTGGTTATCACACGTACAGTCAGCTAAAAAGGGGTTAAGGAAAGATTCGTTTGACTTGAGGATAACAACTGGTGCATCACTCACAGGGTGGGGTGCAGAATGTAATGGTCAAACGACGAGAGGTTTTTGGTCAATATTAGAAAACAGGTACGATATCAATGAGTTAGAAATGATTGCACTATTTAATGGATTGAAATGTTTTTCTGGTGCCAATAAGGAAATTTTGTGCCGTACCGATAACACTACCACCATTTCATACATAAATAAGTATGGTGGATGCAAATCTATAAAACTTCACGCGATTGCCAAGTCAATTTGGCAGTGGTGCGAAGAAAGACAAATAACAATTTTTGCATCGTATATTAGCACAAAAGATAATTTTGTAGCCGACGCTTTATCTAGAGAAAGCGTTGACGAATTTGACTTCATGCTTAACAGTAGTAATTTCAACTTAATTAAAAACAAACTTGGTGATCCGAATATTGATTTGTTTGCGTCCAATTTAACCCGACAGTGAGACTGCTTCGTATCATGGAAGCCTTCTCCAGGTTGCGAATGGGTCGATGCATTTACACAACCTTGGACAACATGTTTTTACGCATTTCCTCCTTTTTCTCTTATTCCTCGAGTTTTAAATAAAATAAGAATAGAAAAGTGTGAAGGAATTGTCGTGGCTCCTTATTGGCCTACTCAGGCCTGGTTCCCACTATTCAATGATATGAGTATATCTCAAGTAATAATAATTCCAAAGAATAAAAATGAATTATTTTCTCCTTATTTGAATAGGGCACATCCCTTGAGTTACCAAGTGACATTGATGGCAGCTATATTATCAGGACAGCATTGAATAAATTAGAACTTCCAGATCAAGTTATAAATATTATTAGAAAATCATTATCACTAAGTACGTGGAAGCAGTACGAATCGTCACTTAAAAAATATGTAAAATTTTGTACTGAAAAGGGTTACGATGTTTGGAAAATCGATATCTCCCAATATTTAAATTTTTTATCATCTTTGGTTGAATCTGGTCTAGGTTACAATTCTATAAATACTGCTAGATCAGCATTGTCTACAGTTTTTGGAATGAATAGCGATATAAATATAGGAGAAAATAAATTAATATGTAAGTTTATGAAGGGGGTGTACAAATCCAAGCCCCCACTTTGTAAATATAATGTGACCTGGGATCCTTCTTCTATTTTAGAATTAATTTCCCAATGGGATAATAGTACTATAAATTTAGAACGGTTAAGTTTAAAACTTGTTGCTATTTTAGCCTTAATGACAGCACAAAGAGTTCAGACCTTAAAGTCCTTAAAGATTAGTAACATAATTTGGTCCAATCCTGTTCAGATAAAATTGACGGACGTACTCAAAACGACCACGATCCGTAATCAGAACCCATTAATAATTTTACCTCCCTACCATGATGTTAGAATTTGTCCCGTAGCTTGTCTTAAGATATACATAGATAAAACTAAAGAAATTAGGTTACAAAATTGTGATCAATTGTTAATTTCGTTTGTAAAGCCTCATGGTCAGGTAACTTCACAGACAATTAGTCGCTGGCTTTGTACTGTACTTAAATTAGCTGGTATTGATGTTAAAGAGTTTAGTGCACATAGTTATCGACATGCAGCGTCATCAACGGCTGCAAATAGGGGTGTAAATGTAGACGTAATTATGAAAAGTGTTGGCTGGTCTGCGACCTCAAAAACTTTTGCAACTTTTTATCACAAGCCAATTGTTACGAATAATATGTTAGCTGATGCCGTACTGGGTTGTAATTCATAAATATGATTTATAATAAATTTGTGCTGTTTGTAAGATAATCATATAATATTCTACCCGGTCTCTTCCTTATCAACATATGTACTTTAAACAACTACACAGTGATGTAAGAAGTGAAGGAAGATGAAGAATAATTGTGGATTTTGCGAGCGCTGCGTAGCAGCGTGAAGCAAAATCAAGATTATTAGAATCTTCCGGAACGGAAGACATCACTGCCCACCTGCCCACCCCCTTTTCTTTTTACACATATGTTGATTCGCATACTTTCAAAACAATGGTTCTCTCGGCGCCCAGCAGGAGCTCACCAAACCCTCTTTTTTCTACTTTGAACATAGGCATGCGCGTCTCACTCACTACATGATCTCGACCACTACACAGTGATGTCTTCCGTTCCGGAAGATTCTAATAATCTTGATTTTGCTTCACGCTGCTACGCAGCGCTCGCAAAATCCACAATTTTAGGTAATGAATATTAAAGTAAGAGGAAAATCTGGGAATTATTTTTATAAATCATCTTAATTTTTACTAAAATTTAATTCACGGAATTGAAGCTTGACAATTTATTTAGATTTCGTATCTCAAATTTAAATCCTGCTTTCCTGAAATTTTTTTTAAAATTCTGCCACTTCTTCAAATTCGAGGGATAATTTGTTATTAATTTGATTTCTTGGTGAAAAATATTTCAGATAAAATGACCAAATCTCCTCGTATTTTTCAAAATGTTTAAATACGGTATTGATATTTAAAAAAAAACTAGACGTATTATTTACTCGGAAAATTTACTATTCAATAATAAAATCTGGGAATTATTCCTATATTATTTTACTTATAATTTTCATAGAGTGTAAATTTGACGATTTATTTGGATCTCATTTTTCGAATTTTAAATTTTCAACTTTCTGGGAAACTTTGCGTATTTTAATGTTTTTGCGAAAAATGTTTTCAAAATATGATCAAGAAATATTTAAATATTCTTGAAAAACTGGTATTTTCTATTTTCTGGAACTTTTTAAGGCAACATTCTGTCACTTATTTACATTCAACCAACAGACAATTCTGATAAATTTTGATGTTTTGATTTCTGTGCGAAAAATGTTTAATAAATACTGATCAGATTTTCACATATTTTGCAAAATATTTAGAAAACATCATGTTTTAAAAAAACTGGAAATATTGAAAATTGAGAAAATAAAATCCTTACCAAAGTCGGTATGACATATCCACCTCTCAGAAACAGCGGAGTTTGAACTAAATAGCCGGTCACGGTCTTGAATCCGCCATTTCCGGTGTCATTCCACGCCATAAAACCGTCAGCATCGTACCAGATTCCGGGAGGGAAATACGATTCGCGATTCAGTTCTAAATTTCAATACGCTCATTTTAGATCAACCAGGTCACAAAGTTCGAAAATACGAATTGAGCATGGATTTGCAATGAAATGGAGCTTAGTTAAAAATTTATTAAGAAATTATCAAGAATTTACGAAATATTGGCTGCCAAAAAACCTCGAAATAGGAATCAGTTTTTGGCTAAATTATAATTGTATATTTTTTGTAGTTATACATAAAAAAATATTTAACACAAATTCGTTTAAAATCGTAAAAGTCGATATTTAAATTTACTGGAACGTAAGAACTTGAAAAAAAATTCTCAATAATTTACGAAATATTGGCCGCTAAAAAACTCAAAATATGAATCTGCATTTGAAAATATGCATTTTTAGGCTAATTGTAAGTTATTATTTTTCATTTTTTTTTAATTCTCATAAAATTACGTGTCCAATTTTTTACATTTTAATTTGATTCTAAAATAAAAACATTGTGTACTCCAATTTATGGTAACAATTTCTTCGTTTAAAAGTCAAAATTTTAACCGCACTAAAAATATGATCACTTTAAATACCTGGCTTCACAATGGGCGCGGCAAGAATGGCTTCTCCGATCATGAATTGGTCCACCAATTTGAAAACGGTGGCCCTCTCGACGCCAGAAACATTGTGGAACAAGTACGACATCGGCAAGATCATGGGGACGAAGGTTTTCTGATAATTGATGAGCAGCGTGTAGTAATACGGCGCGTACGTGTACCGCTGGCGAATCGCTTCCGAGAGGTAATTCTGATATCTATGTGATATAATTAAACCATTACTACACTGCATACCTGTTCACCTTCATTCATTTCATTTGACAGATTATGATAGTGAATGAAACTGAATTTCCTGCTATTTGCATAAAAATGACTGAATGATTCCGTCATTACTACAAGAAGTATGCGCTATCTACAGATAAATATCGGGATATTTATCTGCGCTTTCTGTACTCCATGGATTTCAGGTAATAATTTCTCTTGCTGGTGATGGTGAGGATGAAAACATGCTCCTTTGCTAGGTAAATTTGCGAAAAAAGTCCTATGGTCAGAGGGCGGATATGTATGTATTTCTAACTTTTTCATATCAAATCAGATCGTATTAAAACTTCGTATACTGACATCCCATCTAAGCACGATCTCAAAAATTCGAACATAGTTTTCCATATTTTACATATTTCAGGGTTTTCGTACATATACATATTTTCATACATATTTTGAGGTTTTTTCGTACCTTCACATATTTTCGTACATATTCGAGTCTTTTTCTAAATATAAATATTTTAATACATATTTCGAGGTTTTTTATGTAAAAATATTTTTCTTTGTTCAGAAGTTAAAGTTTTGTCAAAATTATATTTTCATGATAATGGTGTTCAATTCATGTGAACGAATAGTAAGTCGAGTTTGCCCCTATTTTCAAGCCAAAAAATACCCCTGAAAATCTATAATTATAACTAATGTCGCATTATGGGTCGTTAAATGAAGAATAAAAAGAAATATTTAATAATTCGTTGATAAGAGTGTTAAAAATGTGAAAGGTCTGGAAAATTACATATAAATACTGCAGAAAATTGCAATTGAAAAATATTTTTTATGTACATATTTTAGAGTTTTTTAAGCACATATTACATACATATTCTGCAGAATTTAAGTACATACCATACATATCCGCCCTATGCCTATGGTTTTCCAACTAAAGTTTTACGAAAACTTGCAAATTTCGCAAAATTCTGAAGTTATTGCTATGCTCAATTTGCGAGATATATGAATGTTGAGACGCTCATGATTTTATAATATGCATGCAATTTTAGAATTTCCTGAATTACTTAAACGCCAATAATGAAGTAGTTGGTAAACCATAGATATCAGTAATGTGCAGATTGCTCATGGTCAAGTCCGATGTAATAATACGGAACACCCACTATTAAAATTTGCAGTTTGCGCAGTGGAGTAGGAAAATGGTGAGTTTTCTTGAAGGTAAATTTCGGTCTGCCCAAAATATCAAAAATTCACAAAATTGTATTATTTTTTAATTAAAAAAAACTCGTTTCAATTGGAGGATTTTTAAGAAGTACCGTTTTCTCTTTATCCCTGCAAACTAAATTTTCAAAAACTGAAAATGTTTAAGTTTCAAAAGTTTTCTAGTTTCAAAACGGTTAAATGATTTTCTGAATTTATATTTTTTTTCACAAAAACTTTTTACTTCTTGAAGGATTTTTGTTGAAAACTTACAATTTTCTCAAAATTGGAGAAAAAAAACTTTCTAAACAATTTCTAATTATTTCATCCCATTGGTTCACCTTTGCGTATTAATGATTCATTATAATAATTGATAAAATTACGATTCTACTTAAATAACCGAATTAAAATGTCAAAGCTCGAAATTTTGAGTTACTTAAAAACCATTAGTAAATAAATTAAGTATTCAATGAAGCGAATACTAAAAATATTCATAGATTGATGCGCCATCGTCGTTTCATAAATCGATACAGGTGGGCAGAAAAAAATAGTATAGTTTGTGGAGAGAAATTTTGCAAAAATTTTGCAAAATTGTGCAGCCTTCTAACAGAGTCTACTGAAAAATCTGTACGTCAAGATTTATGAGACATGTTTCATTTCAATTTTTCTCTAATTTGCATAGCCTAAATAAAATAACACATCAAACTTATCCAAAAACTGAGGCCTTTTTAATACTCACCTCTTCGGAAAATCTAACGGTCCCCTCGAGTCGTTACCCTTTCTAAAATAATTACATCAATTTAAATACATTAACAGTTCCTTAAATAATTTAGAAAATTATAATGGAGGTCTCCCAGCGTACGCTCTCCGATTTTGAGCAAATTAGTGTCAATCGATGACAAATTTAGTTAGGATGAAATTTGCGAAAGACACGATCTTCCAATGGCAGAGATATTTGCATCCGAAGAAGAGAAAACACGCACTACATTTGGAAAGTGTAAAATTTGCCAACTTTTGGGCACCTTTTTCTCCTCTACAGATGCAAACATCTCGGTCAAGTGGGCCAATTGCGAAATCGTGTCTTCCGCAAATTGTATATTAATTAAATTTGTGATCGATTGATACTAGTTTGCTCAAAATCTGAGAGCATAAGCTGGGAAACCTCCCTTATAAGTAAGAATTATCCTTCAACATACGCATAATTATGGTACGCATGGGGCAACAGGAGTCCAAGTTGGTACCATCTCAGGCACAGATTATTGTCAAAGTCGGGCTTCTCATTGGGTAGAAAAGCGCCACAAATGGTCGTTCCTGTGACTGGTGAAAGGACAAAGTGTCGCACCACGTGGGCCAAACTTTCCCTGAGGGCGACCCACGTGAAATTTGCCTGCATCCCGTTGGTCGCTCCGTAATAGAGGGATTCCGTCCATGACGAAGACGTTGACAGGACGAGGTCACGCTTACTGAGGGCGTCGCCTTCCAGGGAGTGTAAAACTTGGCGAATTTTTTTCGAGGATTGTAAACCGTACCTGTTCAATAAATATTTGTTCATTCAAAAATTCCTTCAATTTTGAAAAATTTTGAAAAATATTATTCATTCATTATTAATTTATCCTAAATTTGAAGATAAGCATTCGTTTTTTCGCCTTATTCTACTGACTTCTCTACACACCCTATGTCTTCGCTGTGGGGTAAAAAATTATTAACGAATATCATTATTCATTCGTTCTTCATAAATATGAAATGAATAAATATTAGTTCATTCAAAAATTTTGAAAAATTGTTCACTCACTATTCGTGAAGTTATTGAATAATGAAGGAATAATTTATCCATTCTCTATTGAATGAATGAATGTGAACAGGGGGTTTATTTTTACGACACGTAAAACTGGACGGTTTCGGATTTTTTCGATTTTGGAAATTTTTCATCAAACCAGTTTTCGGTTTACTTCAAAACCGGTTTTACATCGAATTCTAAAGATTTTATAGATCCGATTTGGTAAAATGTAGATCAAACCGGGTTTGCAGTAAAATTGAAAACCAGTTTTCGGGTAAATTGAAAACCGGTTTTCGGTAAATTGAAAACTGGTTTTCGGGCAACTTGACAACCTGTTTTCGGGTAAATTGAAAACCGGTTTTGGATTCCCTATTAATGTTGCAAACCGTACGAATTGTGGAGTTCCAAATGAGTTTTCTCAACTCGACTGGTATTAATCTGTACGACGGTGTGACTAATCTGGGGACAGATTGAGCCCCAAGGGTTGATCTTTTTAAGGGCGTCATTGGGCTCGATTTGGATTGAGCGGTTCGTGGAGAGGAGCAGTTTTTGAAGGAAGGAGCCCGGTTTTTGGCAGGATGATGAATTCTCATTCCGCGGAAAATTGTCAGTCAGGATGAATCCAGAGACGGGGATGTCGCTAAAGTTGAAATTCCAGGGGGCCAGATCAGAGAAAATGGTGGGGTGGAAGACATCCTAACAAAAAAGGGGATACAATTAAGTATTTAAGTATGTGCAAGAATGAAATTCCCAATTTTTTGGAGGTTATTTATAATTTAGGTCGCAAAATGTCGCAATTTTTTGCAAAATCAACTTCTCTAAAAATTGCAAGGACAAAATTTTCTCCAGATGTTAAAATACACATTATAATTTCTGAGGTTTTTAAATTTTACTATTTCAATTCTGCTGTTGTCCAATTTCTTATTAAAAGAGTCGAAATGTTCGTTACACTTTGGAAATTTCTGTCCTTTTGTGAATCATGAAAGACGAATTTTATCAGAAATTTAAACTCATGGACAAGTATTTGGAAAATAAAAAGCTTGAAACCTCTAATCTTGAAATTTTTTCCTTGTCCAATTTTTGGTTAATTACGAGCGTAAAATAGTCGAAATATTGTCATTATTTTGGAAAAGATCTGCCACTTTGTGAACCACAGATAATGAATTTTATCAGAAATTTAAACCAAATATTTCCAAAATAAAAAACCCTGAAAATTTGCAATACTTTAATATCTCCTAATTAACAACCAATTACCGGATAAACCACCGTCCCATTATCAATCATCCCCACAAACGGGTGCGAAGACCCGTTCATCCTATTCATCACGAGAAACTCTCCAATTTCTGAAATATCCGTGACACCCTCGACAAACGGGATGGTAAAAGTTTGACTCAAAACGATCTTCTTTTCTGTCACATTCAACATTTCGACAATGTCGGCAAGTTCTTCAGACGAGAAAATTGTGCTGTTTTTGACCAAAAGATTTCTCAAATTTCCATGAATGCAGTCAGAATCGTACGGAATTTTGTTAAGGGTGGCGTTGTTGAGTTCGTCGATGTGCTCCCAAACGAGGGCAGTGTCCCACATGGAGCGGCACAGGTGCAGGCCGAGACCCCAATAGGGTGGGATGTAGGGGACAAGGGGGGCAATTTCGGGGGTGCTGGTGGTTTCGTTGCCGATTCGGGTAGAAAGCTGAATATTTAATGAAGGAATTAAAAGGAAGATTGATTCGTCAATTAATGAAAGTGAGTTTATGTAAATTTACGTAAGAATGAAGCTGGGTCAAGACTCCAGTTGTTGTGGGTCCGTTAAAGAAGTGTAAATTAATGTCGGCTTTGGGACCTTAATACGCGCAGTAAAATGTTTGCAAATTAAAATTTCACGTGAAAAAAGCAGTCAATTAGGAGATAAAACTTCTGCTTTTGCAAAAAAAAAATTGTTACAGAAAATTCAGTACTTCGTTTCTTGGGGGTTTGCTATATTTCCTGTACTGGGAAGTAAGAAATGTAAAAAAAATTCAATGTGCAAGAAATTGGGAGAAAGCGCAAGAAATATTTTTTCGTTTCTTGGGGGTTTGCTATATTTCTTGTACTGGGAAGGAAGGAATGTAAAAAATTAAATGTGCAAGAAATTGGGAGAAAGCGCAAGAAATATATAGCCACACGCCACATGAACTATCGTGGCGGGGCGTAGTTTCTAGGGCCGTGCATTTCTTGCAGGTCAAAATAGCTGCAAGAAACCACTTTCTCCCCGTTATTTCTTGCATCCGAAACACTGAAACGGTTATTTATTAAAATTCAGCAAAATTTCTGTTTTTGCGAAAGAAATTATTGGAGAAGATTCAACTTTTGCAAAATATTATATACCTTCGATGTGAAACCCGATTCCTGGCGCTTGCAGAACTTGTGTGACAAATGGAAGTGTGGTTTCTAATTTTGAGTAAAGAAATTAGCAATTAATTAATTACAATTAATCATTTTAATTATTTTGACTAATTTTTTTACTTAATATTCACCTAAAAGTATTCCATGCCATGAATTTGAGTTTTCAAGTGACATGTAAAACGGCGTTTCTGCATTTTCAAAGCCATTCATCACGCCGAAAGTTACCGTTGATTTGGATGCAATTCCTTCCCCACCTAAAAAACCGATTGTACAATTTGCAAAGTAAAATATTCAGTAAATACAAATGCGAAAATTTTTGCAAAAATGTGTATTTTTTTGGTACCTGTGAGTCCATAAAAGTATGGGGTTGACAGCGTCGTGGTGAAAGCCATGAAACCATTCCCACTGTTAATTGGACCTTGATGAAAATAATAATTATAAATAATTAGTTAATTAGATACGTTACAAAATTTTAAATCTTTTTTTCCAAATGACTTATTGCAAATTTTGCAAATTTTAAATGTTATTCATTTTGACATACGTTTTATGAAATGTCGATGACTTCGCCATATCTCTAGTATAACTTAATCAACTTATTAACTAAAATAATTTTTCCATAGGGGCATCGAATTTGACGTATTATTTTTTGATTTTGAATTTTGAGATTTGAGATTTTGAAATAATTTTTGAAAAAATTCTGGGCTTTTCTTAAAAATTCTTAACTCTAAGTTTAAATTTGAATGGAATTAAATTTTTAACTTCTATTTATTTTTTTAATAAGATTACCGAAAAATTTATAAAAATTTTCGTTTTTTTAAAAATCAAATTTCGGATCCCACACATTTTGAACTCGTTTCAATGCATTTTACTAGCGCAACCTGACAAAGCCCCAATCTTTAAGTGTGATCTTTAATACATAAATATGTTAATCAATTATTTAAATCGTTTCTCAACAGCGGCGTCAAACTTGACGCTGATTTCAGAATTTTGAAATTCTATTAAAGAAATAACGGCGTTGTTCGTAAAACAAAACTGGAACTAAATTTTGTTTGTCAGGTTAACTAAATTATGGGAAAATTTTAAAATTTCCATATTTTTATTTCTAAAATTTTGAATTTTACTACGTTTTGATAATCAAAAGTGTTTAATGTATTTTCTGGGCTATTGCAATCTAGCATATTCCTGAGCTTAAATCTGTTATACAAAAATGAGCAACAATAGCAAACTTGTTTCTCAACAGCAGTGTCGAATTTGACATCTTATTTCTGAATTTTGAAATTTTCTTTAAAAAATTACTAGCAAAGTTTGTTCCTAAAACAAAACCGGGACGAAATTTTCTTTGTAAGGCCAGGCTGGCTGAATTACCGGAAATTTTTGAAAATTTAAAAATTTTGAATCCTACATACACATTTCAATTCATTTTTTTGACTAGCACATTAATCAACCGAAAATACCACCGAATTTCAATCTTTGATAATAATTAAAATATTAACAGGTAATTAAATTATTTTACAACAGTGGTGTTTTAGTTTAGCATTTTTTTTTAAATTTTGGAAATTTTCTTCACATTAAAAAACATTGATCGTTTCAAAGGCTTAAAAAAGTTACTTAAGGCTGCAAACGAAACTTTTTGGCGAGATTTTAAATATGCAGATTATGCATGTGTACATATAAGTATTTCTATATGTTGGACGTGCTTTTACCGCTTTCACAGCACACCCGAAATGCAAAATATCTCAAAATTTTGTTTATGCACATAAATTTATTTACTCAGAGTTTAGCCGAAAAGTTCCACTTTCTAGTTGTATTTTTTCATAGTTCAATTGTAGATTTTGTCAAAAAAACGTACAAAACGCAATGTTTAAGTATTTGTCTAAAGAAGGCATTGAACTCAAAATTTATCAGGAATTTTGCTGTCAAATTTCTAAATTTCAAGCAACCAATAATTCGAACTCTTACCTAATCTGGTATCGAAAATTGTTTCATTTCGATTCCATCCATCTCCAACTCGTTCAATTTGAATGAAAAAGTAATCCCCCACATCCGGATAACTGATGATAAGCCCATCTTTCTCGATTGATCTCGGCCCACCCGGTAAAACATCGCCCAATCCGCTCGTTACCCGTTCCGGGTAAAGGGCTGGATTAAACATTTGCAAATTTAAGTGACCCTCGTCCAGCCAAGAGATCAAAATGGTCAGTCTAGTCATCCAGCCTTGATTTGGATCTGCCGTTATCTGCACCGCGTCACCATTTTCGGATAACTGTTTAATTTCCAGGACTCGATATTGATCTAAATTAATTCATAAAAATTTCATAAAAATTTCATAAAAATTTCATAAAAATTTCATAAAAATGTCATAAAAATTCCATAAAAATTTCATAAAAATGTCATAAAAATGTCATAAAAATTTCATAAAAATTTCACGGGCACGAAATCGTTGGCTAAATTAAGAAGACCATGTAGCTAATTAATCATTGTTTCTTGCGCCTTGCATTTCTTGCAGGTCAAAATACCTGCAAAAAACACTTTCTGCCCGTTATTTCTTGCGCGTGGTTATTTTCACACGAATCACTGGAAATATTTGTAGTATTTATGTGATGAAAAAAATTACACACACATTATTATTATTATTAAGTTTTATTATACTGTTTTATATGAACAAACGATACAGCAATGATGAGTAAAACTATAGAAGGTAACTCTAGTTCACACATTTAACCATTACAGTAAGCAGGATGCCATGTTTCGACAGTTTACAATTTCTCTAAGCCATTACTACGAAAGATATAAAATTAACTAACTATTTCATTACACTCAATTAGATTTAAAATGGTTTCAAGTTTAAGCCGTTTGAAGAAATTTTGAACAAATTTACGAAATCAAAAATTCATAAAAATTTTCGTTTTTGATCACTCTTTCCCAATTTGGAAATATTTGGGAATCCCAAATATTTTTCTTTAGTTTGGAGGGTTAGTAATTTTGTCTAACATCGCCGTAATATCTTTTTTTAAATAATTGAAATGTTGAAAAAGATGATTTTTATAATGTATCCACCAAACCAAATAATTTCGGTCGCCTTTTAAGCGCATCTATGTAAAAATTATTCACGAGTAAGCCACAATGAAACAAAAATCACTACCGGCTTTCGAGTATTACGGTATTAATAAACCCCAAAAAATTAGATTTAAGTACTTAGCTAGGTAAAAATTTATTCATTAATTGATGTTTATTTAGCAATTTTTAAGAAATTTTCGAAATTTCGAATTTTAAAAAATATGTACAAAAAAACTATTCATTTTTTGCCACTTTTTTTATCTAAATATTTCTTTAACGCTTACATAATTAGTTTGAAGTCAAGATATGTTTCTCAAAAATTGCCGAAACGTGTGCACATTTTCCATTGAGTATAATTAAATTATGTAAATTTTAATGTTGAAAAAAATTAAATTTCGAAAATATTGCGACAAATTATTATGGAACCTTTCCAATCTGCAAAAATTATTAAGCTATAAACAAAAGAAGAAAAATCTAATCCCGGCGTTCGAATATTACACAGATTAAACAATATTAATTATTTAATTAACATTTATTTTGAAATTTTTAAGAAATTTACGGGATTGAAAATTTCCAAAAAATGGAAAAAAACTATTGGTTTTCGACCACTTTATCATCTAATTATTTCTTTAATGCTTACATTCTTAGTTTGAAGTAGAAGTATCTTTGTTGAAAATAGCCTTAAAAATATATATTTTCTATTTGCGTGTATTTAAAAATAATTATCCCAATTGGAATTTTAATGTTGGAAACAATTAAATTTTCAAAATTTGGAACAAATAATTTTGAAAACGTTACAACCTATCTGCCAAAATAGTTACTCGATAGACAAAACTAAGAAAAATTAAAATTGGCGTTGGATTATTATATGTCAAGCATATTTCATGATATTTAACTACTTAAATATTTGTCGAATTATTAAAAAACTCAACTTTCAATTGCAATTTTAATGTTGAAAATAAATAAATTGTCAAAATTTTGTGAACAAACAATTTTGAAATCATTATTATTACCACGACCTTCAAATCTGCAAAGAAATTTAGGGTTAAAAAAATAAGAAAAATCAATGAAACTATGACTAAATATGACTAAATAAAAAAAATGGTATGTATGATAAATATTTAAATACTTAAATGTTTGACGAAATATTTTGAAACATTTATTTATATTAATGTAGAGAATTTTAAGAAATTTACGAAATTAAAAATCTATAAAAACTAAAAAAGAACTCCTGGATTTCCGCCACTTTTTCATCCAAATATTTATTTTTAGATTGAATTCAGTGGAAGTATTTTTGTCTAAAATCGTCATAAAAATTTCTACTTGCTTATTTAAATAAAAAATTAGCTCAATTGAAAGCTTAAAATCAAAACAAATTTTCAAAATGTTGAGAACAAATTATTTTTGGAAACGTTCCAGCGTGTTTTAAGATGTACACAAATTATTGGTTGAGGGAAAAAAATTACAAAAATCAAAATCCGGCGTTCGAGTATTACTAAATCAGGCAAATTTCCGTCGTATGATATTTCCTTGATTAAACATTTGTTGAACTATTAAAAACAACGAGGCAATTCACGCAGGCCTTGGTAACATTGTAAATCCGTAAATTCCGTAAACTTACAGGCTCTTACAAAATTTTACAACTATTTCGAAAGAAAAATAGCTTATAAAGCTTACTCAGATCAAGGGCGTCTCTTTATTTTGTAAAAGTTTGTGAAATTATTTTACTAAAAGCACGGATTTTGCTAAATTATCAAGGTCTTCGTGAATTCACTTAATAATTTATCGTCAACTACTCACCTGCCGTCGGAAATGAGTGATAACATTTAAACGGTAATTCATCATTTTCTTCCCAGCAGCAATTCGCGTCCACGCATTGTCGTCGGTTTGCTATCTCGGCGTTGTTTATTAAACACTGAAACCTGCATGGAAATTTTAAATGGAAAATGAAATTTTCTAAATTTTATGTAAAATTTTTTAAACGTAGGACTCGAAAATTCATCGCCAACATCCGTACATTTTTAATCATTTCTCCGCTCTGGAAATTTATTTGAAAATTTTGCACGGCGAATTTACAGCTCAAGTTTTTGCCAACTTTTTAGAAATTTACGCTCCAAAGGGAAGCAAAAATTTTATACATTTTTAGTAGAATTTTGGGCAGCAGTTGAGATAGCGTACAACAAAAATTCATAATTTGATGGAAATTTCTGCAAATTTTTTAAAATTTATCACATTTCTCTACGCATAAGGTAAGATTCTGGTTGGATAATTGTAAATTTTTCGTCTGTTCAATTAATAGCTTGGATCGTATTAATTATTTATAATTTCGTTAGAAGCTAACAGTAAATATTATTGTACCATGTAAAATTTTGAAATTTTGTGAATCACTTAAACGCGAGTAATAAATTAGTTCATAAACTGCATTTACAAATAAATTTAGATTCTTCATGCTCAAACGCATGTTACATCCACTTCTTGTATAATGTGTAGACTCTGGGAATTTATTTTAAATTTCTGGGCAACAAAATCGTTCAGCAGGTCGTTGTAAATTTATTTAAAATGCACACTCCAGATTTTGACACTTTTTAAGGAGGAGCTTTCAAGTTTAAGAAGTCGTCAGAAAAATTGGAACTCGTCGAAACTGGCTTAAAAACCTCACTGCCATTCCATCAATCAACTCACAGACTACAAATTTGTCGTCCGAAATTTTAAAATAAATACCCAGAGCGGAGAAATGCTTAAAAATGTGCTGATTTGAACGATTTTTGATAAGAGTAATCCAGTCTTACGATAAATACTTACCTTGCCTCCGTTTTAATTAAGCAACTCCCATAAATTGTAGAGTCCTCGTGGTCATATAGAAGTTGATGGATCGCTATTGGTACCCCGATTCCCAGAATTATCGCAATTATGATGGCGTACGCGATGCGGAAACGTAGGTCGAAAATTAATCGTTGATACCATGTGATTTTCTTCAGGTCATCGGTATCTGAATTTTAAAATTAATTTTAATTGTATTACTTGTGAATTAAAGAAACAGGGAGGCAATTCACGCAGGGCTTTGTAACTTTGTAAAACCCGTAAACTTGCAAACTTTTACAAGATTGTTTGCAAATATTTCAGAGGAAAGTTGGCTCACAAATTTTTGTAAATTTAGTCAGACCAAGGGGGTCTCTTTATTTTGCAAAAGTTTACAAAATGCGTGATGTTACAAGATTTACAGATTTTACCAAGATTGTCTTCATCATCTGTGATGTATTAACTAATTTGCAAGACATTACATACTTTTGCCGAGGTTATGCAGTTTACAAGCTTTGCACTGCAGACTTTACGCAATTTACAAACCTTGGAGACTTTACAATTTACAAATTGTACGGAGTTATCTGCACGTAACATAATTATTTTTAAACTTTAAACAATTAAAAAACCTTACTTCCTTATTACAAATCCAGCAATTTGCGCAGCTTACAAACTTTATAAATTGTACGCAATTTACAAATGACTATCTTACTTTGTAATCCAAATTCGTACGGACGGTTTTCTGTTTCCTCCGCATATTTCTGGATTTCTCGTTCGTCTTCGTTTACACTATTTCTGGATTTCAGTTTCGACACGATTTTTCCCATGGTGCACGAATTTTAGGTAAAAAAATCACAAATATTTTCGTTTATATTCAGTCACTTATAGTCACCTGCTCGTTAGTAATTAATTTGAAGCGAATGTCGAAAAATGCGAGTGCATCATCCTCACGGAACGTAAGCAGAGCGGAATCGATTAGATTGGACGTACACATTCCTATTTAGTATGGATTTCGTTTCGATATATCATCAATATCGAAGATAAGCCCTGCGTCAACAGGACTGATAAGTAATCAAGGTTACTTATCAGCGTAATACGTATGAAATTCATTTATTTGAGAATTCTCCGAATCTGATGGAATTAAAGGTATATATATTCAAATAAACTACATTTTTATATCGGATGTGCTAAAATTCGTCTGGTCAGAAGATTATGATTCTATGATTTATTGCAGAATCTAGTATAATTAAATAACTTCCATAAACAGATATAATAAACAGATTTCGAACCGTGTAAAATTATTCGATATCCGATTTGTGTAAAAAGATATGCGAGAAGGTGTTTAGTCATTAAAGATTATTATACAATATGATTCTTAAGTATGCAAAACACCTTTATGCAAATCCACCTACATGTGTAGAACCCAATAAACTTGCGTAAGTTGAAACGGAGTGCAACGGTCATGGGTTGGTCGGAGGTCAAAATTATTGACGGCGTTGAAATTGTGGTTCAATTTCCTTTAAAATGACACCCCACATGAAATTAGGTTAAATTTAATTTTGGACCACACCCCCTGGCGTTGTAGGGGGGTTGGATATTTACCCCATTTTCGAACTCGACTGAGAACTCAAAATTAGAGGAACAATTGCGAAAACGGAACTTGATTATGTTGAAGCGTTCTGGAGATATCCTGCACAGACGGACAGACAGACAGATGGACGGACGGACAAAATGATCACAATATGCAGCCGGCGATGCATAATAATGCGGAACAATTTTATGCTAAATCGATTACACTTAAATTCCGTTGCAATTTTTAACATATTTATTTCTTAACGCTTTTTATTAATTTCCCAGTAATTTAGCCTCTCTTTAATTGCGGACGCCAAAGGGTACGACACCCAGCTTTTGCACAGGTTACTGAAATCGTCATAGTCAATAAAGTCGATCGCAATTCCGCCCAGATTTTTTGTCCCAATGGCGAAATCAATCTAGATAAAGTAGGTCCATCAAAATTAATACAAAAATTTGGTTTTAAGTATTTACTTTTCTCGGAAATTTACCTTTTCTTTAACCGAAATCTCATTGTCGTAACCAATCCACATAATATCATTGCAAATGTAGGGGATCCGATAATCATGATCGTAACGGAACTGCCACGCGGATGTGCTCTTGTTCACTTCGTGACAAATCTAAAAGCGATAGAAATATTTATTTTTTTACGTATTTTGCAATTTTTCTCAACATTTGTAGGTTTTCTTAAATAGCAGTAAAAATATTGAATTAATTTTTAAAATAAAGTAAATTAAATTCGAAAATTTTAGAAATTCAAATTTAAGAAAATTAAAATATTTCTTAGATTTTTTTAAATTACACTAATTTTATCAATATTTTGTTATTTTTTAATTGCAGAGGTCGACGTCGCCGATCGTTCTCTGATTACTTGATTTCGTAGACGACGTTAAAAAGATTTTAGAGCAATTTTTTCTAAGCAAAAATAGAAATTTAATAATTTGGCCAAAAATGACTGAAAATTGATTATTTTTTTTACATTTTTTTGGGGGTAAATATTTCGTAAATATTTTTACGTTTTTTATGCATATTCAATTTTAAGGAAATTCACGCCAAACCCTATCAAATTTATGTACCACAAGGAAGTTACTTATTTGATATTCATTTTGGTTAAAGTTTCCTTAATAATTTCACAAGGGTAAAAAATTGGCATGATCGGTAGATTTAAAAAAATCTGCTACCTCGTAAAAAGAAAGGATTCCTTGTTGCCGAGTGAAACTTCCCGGCGGTCCTAAGCCCATTGTTGGTTGGCCGAAATTGTTATAGTCTGGTGCTCCCAGTTCGTAAGTTCGACCGTGTGCACTGATTCCTGGGATTTAATTTGAAATGCTCAAAAAACAAGGCCACACATTTGTGTCAGAAATTTGTTTAGAGACGATCGGCTACAACATTTTGTAAATTGAAATTTTCATAGAAAGCGATTTTTTCGACATTTCCGTAACATTTGGCGGATCGTCTACTAATTCTGAACAAAACATAGTTGAACCGTACCTAAAACTAGTTTCCGAGATACGGAAGTAGCATTCTTAGAAAGAAAATAGTCAACTCCGTAAGCCTGAAAAAAGTAAATACATTTTCAAATAAATCTAAATTCTGACATCGAATTTGTGATGAAACAAGAAGGCAAACACACTTAAAACGAGTTGGTAATAAGATCGTTCCCGCCTTTGGTGCCAAAGTGATCAAATTTATCACCGAATGGTAACAAAAATGTCTGTCTAATTCAAATTCGACACCATCCAATTAGAAATTGGTTAAAAAATCGTATCAATTTGGAATCCTCGACAAATTATTGCTAACTTCCGGTTAGAAATATTTACCAACTTGGTTGAGTCTGATATAACTCGCGGTGATATTTTTATTACCGACTACACAAAAGTATAATAGTTGAAATTTTTACTGCCGTCAACTGCTTATCAGGATCGGAATCGGATTCTTTATGAAAGAGTGGGCTGTGATGTGCAATATTGCTAGTGGAGTCTGTATACATCTTAAAGTCGAAGCAGAGCAGGTTCAGGAAGTCGACATACCTTTTTAGGAAATATATTGATAAATTTCCATCTTTTAAATTCCCTAGAATTGCACACTGTTAGAAATCTGGTAGACTCGCATATATACTCCGCACTGGTATTGATTTGGTAATTGGGAATTATTGTTGAATTCTCTTATCAAATTCAAAATTGCGTAACAATTTTCAACCCTGTCATTCGTACCTATCAATATTTCGAAACTCGAAATTATTTCAGTGCAAAAAACGGTGTCTAACTTGCACAGAAAAAATTATTTAATAAAAAAGAACGGCGACATTTTATTCAAATAAACGTTTGAAATAATTTATCCGTAAACGGTAATGCCCGTTATTATACCAGTGCGGGTAGAGTCACATATATACTCCGCATTAGTTTGGTAGTAACCTTCTACCGGGTTGGTAGTAGTTTGTTTCTGAGTGGTAAATTTTTTATTACCACAACAATACTAAACCTAAACGGTAATGCCCGTTATTACCAGTGCGGGTAGAGTCATAACTTTACTCTGATCAGTAATGTTTTTAAAACCAGTTTTCTAAGAGTGTACTTAAAAAAACAGTAAAACTCACTGGGCCAACCCGGTAACGTCATAGCCAGCGTCGATGACATTCTTGGTGCATCCAAGGGTCCCAGTTAATGTGTAATTTCGTCCTGTGAAAGTGGTCAAGTTCGTGAAAGCTGCCCTCAAATCCTAAAAAAAATTACGGTGAAATGTAGTCCAATTATATTATGGCAGCCAAGTTTTTGAAAGCGAGGTTTTCGATTTTTTTGATCTTGGCAAACTTTCATTATACCGGTTTCTAAATTTGTAAAGCCAGTTTTCGGTTACATATCTCCAAAACCGGTTTTGCACCAAATTTTATAAATTTTATAAATTTATCATTATGATCTACTAAAATTTAAAGCACAACAAACTTTAGGAATTAATTTGGAAAAAAATATTCCCGAACAACTAATTCTTACGTAGAAACCGTTAATCGTTAATATTTGAGTGGCTCCAAAATAATTAAAAAAATAGAAAACCGGTTTTGATAAAACTGTTATTTCTATAAACCGGTGTTTTGGAAAAAATTTAAAACTAGTTTTCGGGAAAATAAAAACTGGTTTTTTTTAGAAAACCGGAAAACCCGGTTTTGGATTTTTGTGGTAGGTTACCCTCATGACATAGACGAAGCTTTCGCCATCCTCCGGCCTTCCGTCCCCATTTCCGGGATACTTCCAATACAAATCGATTCCATCCAGTTCGTACAAATCCACATATTTTATCAAACTTCGAATGAACAGGGTTCGATTGGCCACGTGTCGCGCCATGTTGGAGAAACTCCTCGAGCTCTGCAGTGGACCACCGATGGACACCAAAACCTTCACGGCGGGGTTATCCTGCCTCAAAACAACCGTTTTTCGGATAAAGTCAAGCTCACCGATTGAATTGTCGGGATCATCCGGAAATGGCTCGGTTTCACCGGGACCTGTCGAATTTTTTAGGAAATTTTAGGTCACAATTGTTCATAATTGTTCGTAACGAGGGTTTTTGTGAAGGATAACTTTTATAAATTATTTTTCTGGCTGATTTTCCTTCAATTTTTTTTGTAACCGGTAAATTTTTTAATTAATTTTGTGACTGATTTGCATTCATAATATTTTCTAAAGTGGAAATTTTGTTAAATTATTTCTCTAGCTAATTTTCCTTCTGTAATTTTCTTTTTTTACGAAATTTACAAAGTTGACGTGCAGTTAGTGAAAACTTACCTAAATCTAGGCCTGGATTTCTCGAGTAAACGTTGTAAATTTCCGCCCCCATTCCTAAATACGAGTAAATCACGTGCGTACACAGGGTCGCATTGATATTGGCAGGCTCAAATGGTAGTTCTATAATAAGTATAAAATTTTATCAAAAAAATCACATGTAAATTGACCAATATGTATATTGAGATAAGTTGTTATCAGAGTATTAAATACACTGCTAGAAATCTGGTGTAGTCATGAAGGTATTGATTTCTCGGTGTTAAAGTTGCTACCGCTTGGTAGTAAAATTACTTATGTACCGGTCCGTAAAAATTTGCTACCGAGCTGGTAAGACTTTAATACAAAGCAACCACTAAACGATATTACTTATCAATCACAATTTGGTAGTCATACGTAAATATCGCTTGGTATTATTTTAATCCTGGAATTCTAAGAGTGCATTAAAGTTGCTACCGCTTTGGTATTAAAATTATTAACATACAAATTTGCTATTGAACTTTAATACCGAGGTATTACTGCACGGTACTACTTATCATTGATAAGTTATCAATACCGCTTGGTATTATTTTAATACTGGATTTGTAGGTACCTGGTCTATAGTACGATTCCGAGTTGTAGTAACACACCAAAACATTGGATTCTTGCGCTGGATGAAAATAATTAGTTTTTTTCTTACAAATTTTGAAATATGAAATATTTCAGAAAAATTAAGTTTCCAACTTTCACTCACCAGCCACATTTAAGGACAGAAATTGCAGTACAAAAACTCCCAGGAAATATAATCCGCCTCGACAAAACGACATTTTCTCCAAAATATTAAACAAAAATTGGATTCCAGTGAAAACTTGCAGATTAATTTATTGTAAATTAATTGCAAATCATCTGCTGTACAAATTACGACTTTAATATCTTAACTGAAACGATTTACGTATCATCATTTGATCCAGGGTGAATATGAATCTACGTCAATTATCGAGAATGCGATTATCTGTACACGATCGATACCGACATCCGTCACTCCGATAAGTAAGCTTGACGTTATCTCCGGTTCAGCATTATCCAATTTATGTATTTTATGTACACACATACATACATCAAATCCTTAATCATCATTGCTATAAAAAAATCCTGATAGAAATTTATCACAAAAATTTCATAATACAATTTTTTTTTCGACAAAACTTCAATTTTATTCGTGCTGAGAGATCAAACTACGTAATAAATAAGTTTATGGTCTGCATTAATTATGACCAATTTCCCAATGACACCACCGAATTTTGTACAGATACCTTTCACGACTATCTCAGCATCCTTATCGGAATAAAATAAACCGAAGGAAGGAAATGTATGTAGCAATCAATAAGGTGAAACCAGTAATTTCCCTAAAATATGTTACCTCGACCCCCAACCTCGAGTTGGTACGATCCTCCCCCTTGGGATCTTATGTTAATTAATTAAGTATATCAATATTATTATATTAATTAACTATTATAATTATTTAGCCTTAGATAAATAATTAAACACGTGTTTCAGGATTTTTCATAATGCTCACTTTAAACGAAATTATAATGGAATTTATTGCTAGAATTTAGTATTTTTCTCCCTCACGATAAGAATATCATGGTAAAAATGCAAATTCTCGCTCACTTTTTTTTAACATAATTTCGTTTAAACTGACAAGGGATACTCACGACCTGTCGTTTGAGTCCAGGGTACCCACTATGTTTTTTAGAATCTACTAGGACCCCTGATGAAGGATTCATTCATATTTCCGTGTAAAACTCATATTTGGCCCAATGGCGTGGCGCCAAACTTAAAAATTTACATTTTCGACCAATTTCAAACCCCCATAACTTTAGCAGTTTATGTCGGACTAGTCTCTTAAGCCCGCAGTGCGGGCTCTAAGCAAAACGATTTTATTATTTTATTACGACAAACGTTCACTCACGACCCCATGGGCGTGACCACGAAAAACGTTGTCACGACTCTAAAGGGTGTGACCACGGAAAAACGTGCCGTCACGACTCTAATTGGGTGTGTCCACGAAAAACGTTGTCACGACTGTAATTGAGTGTGACCACGAAAAACGTTTAGTCACGACTCTAAAGGGGGTGGCCACGAAAAACGTTCAGTCACGACTCTAAATGGGGGTGGCCACGAAAAACGTTCAGTCACAACTCTAAAGGGGGTGGCCACGAAAAACGTTCAGTCACGACTCTAAAGGAGGTGGCCACGAAAAACGTTCTTCACGACTCTAAAGGGGGTGGCCACGAAAAACGTTCAGTCACGACTCTAAAGGGGGTGGCCACGAAAAACGTTCAGTTACGACTCTAAAGAGGGTGGCCACGAAAAACGTTCAGTCACGACTCTAAAGGGGGTGGCCACGAAAAACGTTCAGTCACGACTCTAAAGGGGGTGGCCACGAAAAACGTTCAGTCACGACTCTATCGGTGTGACCACGAAATTCGTTTAGTTACGACTCTAAAGGGGGTGACCACGAAAAACGTCCGGTCATGACTCTATGAGTTCACCACGAAAAACGTTCAGTGACGACTCTATGGGTGTGACCACGAAATTCGTTTAGTTACGACTCTAAACGGGGTAACCACGAAAAACGTCCGGTCACGACTCTATGGGTTGACCACGAAAAACATTAGGTCACGACTCTAAAGGGGGTGGCCACGAAAAACGTTCTTCACGACTCTAAAGGGGGATGACCTCGAAAAACGTTAGGTCACGACTCTAAAGGGGGTGACCACGAAAAACGTTAGGTCACGACTCTAAAGGGGGTGACCACGACAAACGTTCAGTTACGATTCTAAAGGGGGTGTCCACGAAAAATGTTAGGTCACGACTCTAAAGGGGGTGACCTCGAAAAACGTTAGGTCACGACTCTAAAGGGGGTTACCACGAAAAACGTTAGGTCACAACTCTGAAGTATGGCATTGTTCTAACGTTTTAAGTACGTTTAGGCACTTAAACCAAAAGCCCGCCCTCTAGCCCTGAAAAACAGCCAACATCCGATAGGTGGCGCTGGTAGGTAATTAAAATTAGTAAGGCACAGGTCAAGTGTCAACTTTACCGTGGGGCACAGAGGTCACAGGTCAAGTATAGTGGATGTGCCCAGGTCACAGGTGAAATGTCAAATCTAGTGGGTGTGCCCAGGTCACAGGTGAAATGTCAAATCTAGTGGGTGTGCCCAGGTCACAGGTCAAGTGTAGCGGGTGTGCCGAGGTCACAGGTCAAGTGTAGCGGGTGTGCCCAGGTCACAGGTCAAGTGTAGTGGGTGTGCCCAGGTCAAAGGTCAAGTGTCAACTCTGTAAAGTGTCAACTTTATGGGTTGTACGCAGGTCGCAGGTCAAATGTCAAGTCCAGGGGTGTGTGCCAAGGTCACAGGTCAAATGTCAAATCTAGTGGGTGTGCCAAGGTCACAGGTCAAATGTCAAATCTAGTGGGTGTGCCAAGGTCACAGGTCAAATGTGAAGTCTGGTGGGTGTGCCCAGGTCACAGGTCAAATGTCAAGTTTGGGGGGTGTGCCCGATCATTTGATCAAGTCTCGGCAGATCTAAAGGGTGTGTTTCGTTGTTATCGTGTTCGTCAACGTTTTGGACACGTTTTGACACTTTCACGAAAAACGCCCTCTAGAAACGAAAAATGTAACATAGTGCCCCACCTGCCGCTAGGTGACATTAGCTTAGACAATGTGAGACACGTGTGTAATCAAGCGCCAAGTTCAACTGGTAACACACACCACTGCACAATTCTTGGTTCTGATTTTTAAAATTTTATGCTTAAAATGATCAGACAAGTCGAAATTTTAGAGAAAAAATAGAAATAAAAAAATTTTAATTTTTGAGATATTTTTAGCATTTTTTCGACGAACCCGAAATTTCGAAATTTTGCGAAAAGTTAAAAGCGATAATTTTGGAAAAAATTTCATAGAATACGAAAGTTGAACTCCTTGTCATGATTTTTGCCAAAAATTTTGAAAATCCGTCCAGGATTTCAAAAGTATGGCGGTTTTAAAATGAAAAACCATCAAATTTGGCAAATTTGGCGCCACGCCATGGCGCCAAATATGAGTTTTACACGGAAATATGAATGAATCCTTCATCTGGGGTCCTAGTAGATTCTAAAAAACATAGTGGGTACCCTGGACTCAAACGACAGGTCGTGAGTGTCCCTTGTGAGCATCATGAAAAATCCTGAAACACGTGTTTAAATAATTAAACACATTATCTAATGCTACATAATTATCGAGGTTTCATCAAAATCGGAGCGATACCGCTGGCGTCATGGCATTATTAGTATTTTCTTAAAAGAGGGAAAAGTGAGATTTTGGATATAATCCGAGGCCACGTGGGTTGAGTAATCTGTGTCAAACCAATATTAAGTTGACACCGTCTCTTCATTTAGTATCTAAATCCTTTGGTTCAATTCAATTCTAATTTTATTACTCCTTCTTTTCTACCCTTGGGGTCAAATTGTACCCCAAAAGAAAATACGTACACTTGGAGATGGAAAATTGAAAACAAGACTGATAAACAGGATGTTTATTTCGACAATATCACCAATCCTGTGACATATTTTCGATATGACCTGACTCGTTAAAAGTGTGCGGTCGACCTGAAATTCAAACCCTGAAGGTTCTGTCACCTAAAAATTTATTTCTATTACGTGCTGAAAAGTCGACAAGTTTTATGCTTTCCAAATTTGCTGGGAGTCTTCTCCTCTTCGAATGCAAATATCTCGGCCAAACGTATCGATTGAGGGATCGTACCTTTCGAAAATTTAATACTAATTAAATTTGTTATCGATTGACACAAGATTGCTCAAACTCGTAGAGCATGCGATGAGAGACGTCCAATGTCCCTTGTAAACGATGATATTTGCATACCTATAGATTACAAATAAGACGAACCGATAAGGTCAGGGAATCGCCAAGATCTGCGCACGAGGTCACCCAATATATGACGCAGGCGGCCGAATATTTCCGGAACATTGAGTCCAGCCATAATACATATTTCAGTCACACGTAGATTTTTATGCAGTTTTCAAACTTTTGGAGCTGTACCCAGTTGAATAACTGATATTATGGTTACTGGGGGAGGGTAATATAAAGCACCCAGGCTCGCAGAGAGATCGCGGGGCACGCTTACACATCAAGCGGGATAAAATTTCGAATATAAGGTACCATGAAAAGCATATTTCGAGTACCACCGCAAGTTTACATTGGGCGGGATAAACGAACTTTATAATTTTATGGTACGAGGGAAAGTGACATGAAGTACCCAACCGCGCACGGTGCTTTCTGCGCTCGCTTACACATCAAGCGGGACAAAATTTCTAGTAATAGGTACAAAGAAAACATATTTCGAGTACCGCCGCAATTATGCATTGAGCGGCATGAAGGAACTTTGTGAGTTTATGGTTGCTGATGGAGGGTGACATAAAGCACCCTGGCGCGCGGAGAGACCGGGGCGCTCGCTGACACATCAAGCGGGATAAAATTTCGTCGAAAGGATGGCGATTTCTGAAATTCCCGGCCAAAAATGCGGCTAAAACTGTGGCAACAAAAAATTCGACACGTTTGACCGTTTGTCTTGGCGCCATGACCTCATGATGCACAACGCCCATGTTCGAATTCATTTGTACTTTAAAAATTAGAAACACATTGACGAAAACCGCATGTCGAAATTCGAATCCGTATCATTGATAGTATGTATGTATGTATGTATTGGAGTTTATTAGAACCTTTTCGGGCATTGCACCCATAAAGTTATAATTAGTATAATTAATAAGTATAATTAGTTATTGTGTAGTTTTCACAATATCGAACTGGACAACCTGGCGTCGCTCAAAAATGCAAATCATTAAAATTTTTGCCACAATTACTTGATTTTCAATATTTCATAGCTCAGAGGAATTATGCAATCAACGGTGTAGGGCACCATTAAATATTGCCCTTAGGTCCACTCCCTTATTAACAGAAAAAGATCCGGCGGACCTCGCACAGGAAGGACAACTTTAAAGCCCCCAAATTAGCGTTTCCAAAAGTTCTGATTAAAATACATAACAAAAAGCGATCGTGCCGCAAGTTGTAGATCTATATTGATAATCTCGGCTCACAATTTTCTTACAGATGGAAATTTCTCGATGTAACTTCAGTTTCTTATTGTCATATAGATTGGGCATTCCATATATATGGAAGTCTGTAAATTTACCAGTTCGTCTCAGAGAAATTTAAAATAATTAAATTCTTGAAATTATTGAGCACACTGTGTATACCTACCTAAAATTGGCATCCATGCAAATGCCTAACATTGCTTAACTCGTGGATAGTATCCTCAGATTCGCACCGACGGATAGATAGACATACATTGCCAGTGTATTATGACAGCAGAAAGGAGGTTTTCTAGCTCTTTGTTTGGTTTTACATCATCCATGCGCCGTATAACTAGCAATTCCACACAGACACAAGGCATGTGTTTTATGTATTAAACTAGGCTGTAGTGTTCGTCTAGCGGGCACCTAGAATCGAATTGAAAACGTCCTAAATAATTATTGACACGATGTGTCCGTCTGCGAGAATAAGAATTTTATTGTTTTATAACAACGCCGTCGACATCCTTGCTCCCCGTTTACTCGACGCTCCGTTAAGTTCCACAAACCCCGATAACTTCCACAAACCCAGACAACTCCCGCAAACCCCGAAACTTCCACAAACCCCGATAACTTGCCAAACCCCTTTAAGTTCCACAATCCCAGTTAACACACACAATCTCGGTTAAGTTCCACAAACTCCGCTAACTATTACAATCCCCGCCAAACTATTCACCGGGTCGGATTAAGCGTCAAAAATACATTCGAGTTGATGTGCGACATCACGAATAGGCCGAGCTAAACCAGACCAAGCGTTCCACAAAAGCATTTTCCATATTTCGCAAGAGAAAGTGTTAAACTCGGGTCCTGGTGGGTATCCACCACCATAGCGCTGATTCGCGCGTCAGTGCCGTATCCGTCGCACTTTGGCACGCTCACTCAATCATGCGTCTTATTTAATTAACTATACTGGGTTACTTAAATGTTGGCTATCAAAATACAAAAAACTTAAATGTTGGTATACCATTAGCCCTAGTTTGTTACGGCACTTGCCGTATAAGCCACTCCCTCAGAAACTTTGACCCCAAATTACTCAAGGTACCAGCGTTTCCCTTCGGGCAACATAAGCTGAAAATAGAGCTCTTCCCAAGGAGAAAAATCTGGCATCAGGTTGTCCGAAGTAAATGGCTGGTACCATTCGTTTTTTTAATGATTTATGTGTAGGCCAAAAAACCGCCAAATTTCGAATTTTGAAACTCTTGATGCATTAAAAGGTTCGTATTCAAGGGGGAACTCAAATGTCAAATGCAAGTATAGGTCTAGCTCTTGTTCTAAAGGATGTACATTGACTGTTTCATTTTTCCAAATTTTCTTCCTATATTTTTATAGGGGGTGTGGTTGAACATAATTCAAAAGGTGCTATGCTATATTGATCCGTGAACCCACAATTCCATTTGTAATTTTTCTAATTAAATTTAATGAAATCGACGCGAAAAGGTATTTAACATATCGGTCACTTTCCCTCGGCCATATTTGCCCCTCACCGTCACGCCAAGGTCACAGAGGCCTCAGAGGTCAAAACTATTGACGGCGTCGGATTAAGCATCAAAAATACATTCGAGTTGATGTGCGACATCACGAATAAGCCATATTTGGCCCTCACCGTCACGCCAAGGTCACAGAGGTCAAAACTATTGACGGTGTTTGATTCAGCCAAAAAATACATTCGAATGGATGTGGGTGGAGTTTCTTAAATTAATAATCTAATTAATAGTGTTTACCAACATCACTTATCATGATAACCACCACCAGAGCTGGGATAATCCTGATTAAGGATTATGGATTTTAATCCCGGATTATGGATTATTAATCCATAATCCCTAATCCGGCAATGTGAGATTTTTGTAGATTAATCCCAATCCATAATCCCGATTTTTCTGGAATTAGAATTAATCCGGGAATAATCCCATTTGATTTCATTAATCCATAATCGTGATTACGGATTACTAATCCTGATTAATCCCAATCATGATTACTAATCATGATTACGTATTCATGATTAATTCTCAATCTGGATTACTCAGTTCAATTCCCATAGTTCCATTCATCCCACATAGGAGTGGCAATCCGTCGGATCGGATCGGATTATGACGCCATGGGATTGATCCGGTTCGGATTAAGCAGGTGTTCGGATCAAACAGTCAATCCGATCCGATTCGGATTGATCCGCGGATTTCGGATCGGATCGGATTGCCACTCCTAATCCCACAGTGTAGCTTGAAGTCTCAAGTTCTCATAATGTTGTTCTGTCAGCTACCATTTGAAGAATCAACATGTTCTCGCTGCCCTGTGCTACATACATATATCAATTGAAACTGGCGTCATTTTTATATAAAACCACGCAGTTAAAATTTTTTGCGCTAGATATAGTGAAAAATCATTAATCACCAAATTAATCCGGATTATTAATCCATAATCCATAATCCCGAAATTTTAAGAATTTATGGATTAATCCGGATTAATCCTGACATGAATTAATTTCACGAAAATAATTTAATCACAATCCACATTGTTTTGTGGTTAATCCATAATCCTTAATCCACCCTCAAAAACCAATAATCACCCAGCTCTCACCACCACTGATGATGATGAGTGATATGAAGTGAAGTACATGTACATACACTGCACTGAATTTCCTTGAACACTGTTTATGTACCAATTTGAGTTTGATGGGAAATGTACACGCAAGTCACGTGGAGGCAGAGTGAGACTGTGTGCGACAGGTACAAAAAAATTCTGCGTCTTTGCAGGTGCCATGTTATCAAATTTGTCACCAAATTATAACCATCAACTTATCATTATTTCTTCATGACAAATATTTAGCAAATAATTTGTAAGTAATTCTTAAATAATGTTTCTGACCATGGTCAATGCAGCCACTTACATGGGGCTGGATGACCCCCACCCCGATTTGTTTATTTGTTTGTTGTTTTGTACTGTTGACGCCGCCATGACACTTTATCCGTTCGTGCTCATTTCAGATCGCCCACGAAGAACTAGCTCTTTCTCTCCTTCGAATAATTCATCGTCGGCACTAATTTTATTTATTGAAAACAGAAATGGGTAAGTTTTATACACATTTAAAGTAGCCTTTCCATTCTTAACCTTTTACAACGTACCATAAGCAACATTGAATTGGCGATATTGAGACCTTTTTTGACCTCCGGTCTCATAATTGGGAAGCAAATTATTATGGGCAGCTTCATCTCGTGAATTAGGAATATTTATTAAGGGGTGAAAGCCCTTTATAAGATCGTTATGTCCGTCTATCCGTCCGTCCGTCTGTCCGTCCGTAGCTCCGATAACTTTTGAACGAAAAGACAGAGACTTGAAATTTTGAACGTGAACTCCTAACGTCAAGGGACAGGACGATTTCGAAGATGGACACTGTGACATCGTCACCTGTGACGATGACGTCGTCACGGTGACGAAAAGTGACGAAAAAGTGTCACGTGTCAGTTTTGACATGTGACACATCATTTTTAACTATTTTTCAATGAAGAATTCGAAAATTCATGTCATTTTGCGATTGGACGTCACCTGTGACGATGACGTCGTCACGGTGACGAAAAGTGACGAAAAAGTGTCACGTGTCAGTTTTGACATGTGACACATCATTCTTAACTACTTTTCAACGTTAAATTCAATGGTGACCTACATTTTGACCTCAGAGGTCATCTAAAGGTCATAGGGCATATATATGTCAATTTAACAGGAAATTCATTTTAACGTATGAAACAGTTCTTTCACCCCTTGGTTACATTGGTTGTAACGGTTTATTTGTAGTCTGTAGGTTTCCTTAGATCTTATGTAAATGTAACGTCTCGTAGTCCGGACAGGAATTTATGAACTACGAGTATCTGTACTTTATGGGGTGAGCAGACCACTCATTAGTACACTGAGAATAAAATGTAAGCAAATTGCTACTGGGCGGTGTCTATATATGACCTCACCGGTTTGGTAGCGATTTCCTACGGAATTGTAGTAAATTTGCTACCACATTTTGACTAACCGTAACAGCGGGGTAAGGAAATGCTACAAGATGGTAGCAAATTTACTACAATTCTGTAGGAAATCGCTACCAAACAGGTGAGGTCATATATAGACACCGCCCAGTAGCAATTTGCTTACATTTTATTCTGAGTGTAGAGATAGCCAGGCCAGCAGCGGCCCAGCTTTAGTACCTGTAGTTGCACTAATCCTAAGTCCTCAGTGAGGACTCCTCACTAGGATGTCCCCCTCTCTTACTTAGGCAAATATTTTACAACGAAAAAAATTACAACTTTATATTTTTGTTATATGCTCTTATATTTTTTAATATACTGTAATATAGTTTAATATACCCGAAAATGTGAAAGCCGAATTCGTGGAAGAGGCCAACGGTTTATGCGGCGGCAACGACGTGAAAATGTATATTGCTCGGCGGCGTCGCGCCGCGGCGGTCAAGTTTCATAGGCGGCGACTGCATAAATAACGTGCATACATAAATATATATCTGCATGAAATAGACAAAATCTGAAACTTGTTAAACATGTGCTAAACAATATTTTCCTTATACATAGGATGTACCATTTCCAGACGTCGGACATTTATTTACTATCAACCTCGAAAAAATTTATATTTTCATTCAAAACCCGAAAATATTTTCTTAAATTTTTTTTATAACTTCAGATTTTGGGCTCAATATCCAAGTGGTTATAGCTTAAATTGCATTTCCCACATTATGGCATTTATAAATGGGTGATATTAAAGCTTAGAGTACTTAATAATAATATCATTATTATTAAATACTCTAAGAATAAGCATTCCAGTATTTTTTCATTTTTCCTAATGCGCGAATTTGAGCGCGAGGCGCGAATTTTGCAACATTTTTCAGCCAAAACCTCGATTTTTAAAAATTCCATAAATTTTCGAATTTTAGCGCGAATCCAAAAATTCGAAAACATGTCTCTTCAGAATGACTTATCTGAATTATAACAAATCCACATGAATTATTTTTTGAAAAATTACAAATTTGAAAGGGTTTATAATGTTAATAAATTTCAAAAACTGGCAAAAAATTTTGAAAATGAAATTTCGACACAATTGGATTTTTCATAAGTCAGGTAAGTTATTCTCAAGAGACATGCTTCTGAATTTTTGGATTAGCGCTAAAATTCGAAAATTTACAGAATTTTTAAAACCCCAGGTTTTGGTTGAAACGTTTAATTTCATACTTATAAATACTCATAAATTACTGTTCTAAATTATACTTGCATGTCGTAGGCGTTCTGAAAGTCCAAATGGCCCCCAGCTTTCTTAAAATCACTCTTGGCCACAATACCTTATATTTACCAAGCCAAAAATGTAAGAGTAAAATTTGTAAATCATTATTGTTTGCAATACTTTATTATGCAACACGATTAATGCTAGTAAATCTGAATATACAGTGCAAGTAAATGGATATTGCAAACTGATCGGCAATCCATTTGCTACAGAGTACCAACGACAGCAGCAAGAAATTATGACTGCTCTGGTTGATAAGGTCGGGTCCGACATTGTTAATTTTTAACAGGTACGTTATTTGTATTCCCCATGATTTTTCCATAATGTGATTTGTCCATAATGATCTGTAAATGAAATAGTGTTCGAATTAATTTTTGATGTAATCTTTGTCGCTTGTATTAAGTAGCCTCAGCTGCTTTTTGTGAAACCTTTGTCTGTCTGTCTGTCCGGCTGTCTGTCCGTCTGCAGGATATCAGGACAACGGATCGAGATAAGCAGACTCGGTTTTCGCCATCCTAGATATGACCCCAGAGGGAGGACCCTATCAACTTTTGGGTCAAGCGGACCACTCCCACTGGCGCCAGGGGGTGTGGTCGGGGCAAAATGGGATTTTTAGTGCGATTGAATCCATAGATGAAATAGAGTGAAATTAAGTGTTTCCAAGTCCATGCCACACACCCTCGGCCCCAGGGGGTGTGGTCCGGGCAAAAGGAGAGTTTTGGAAAAATTGAATCTGTACATGAGATACAGTGGAATCATGTGTTCCCGCACTGTCGTGGACGAGGTTGGGGCGAAATGGGATGAAGTGAAATCGATGGCTCGGGTTAAATGAGATAAATAAAAATGGATGGTTGATGCAGATAGATATAAAGTAGAATAGATCAGGCTTCTTCCGTATAGTCAGTGTTAAAAATTCTGCAATGTTTTTGAGGTGGGACTAAACCCTGCCTGTGTCTACAAACCAAGCTTTTTGAACTCCATTTCACGCTATCTGAGTTCATCACATGGATTACATTAGCCGAACGAGCCGAATTATTTTATTATTTGACACCACTTATTTTTATTTTGGCGTTAAAATTATTCAATTTCGTATGATTTAAACGCCAAACTAAAAATCACAGGTGTCAAATAATAAAATAATTCAGGTCGTTCGGCTACCGTACTCCATCAGATGGAATTTTTTAATGATGTGCAAGCGTGCTAAGCATTCCATGCGCTTCCGTGCAACCTTGCGTTATCCCCAAATTATCCCCAAATTCCCCTCCATGCCGAGACGCTTTTTTTAAGTAGCCGAATCTACTCTACTCTATATCCATGGGTTGATGGAACTCATAAAGTCTCCTATAATTAGTCGCTGAAGCTACTTCTTTATGTGCGTTTGGTGCGGTTTATTTCTGTATACAAGTTTGTAAATTATTCATGAATTTCTGTATGTATTGGATCACATACATATATCTAAGAGTATCGTTTTTGATTTTAGCTCAAACGTGACCTACGGAAATCTCTATTCAAAGGCTGATTGGATTTCAATCAATTTCAAGTAAAATTAATATCATTCAATGTCAAATAAAAATAGGTTTATGTTTTACATGATGGTACGTTTTGCAATGTATATTGAATAAATTGTCGTTAAATATTACTCAGTTTATTGTGTTCTACATTAGACATTATTCTTAAGATTCTCCAAATATTCATGAATTTGCTACAAATTTCATTAATTTTTTTATCTGGGACCTCTAATCTCCGAAAAATAAGCTTTGAGAGTTGTGTGGATGTTGTTACGTAGTTCAATGTAGTCCAAGAATTAACAACCGAGTAATGAAAATGGCAAGCCATTTTGCATACGTGTCAAAAGTGCAACTGATGCTAATATCGCACAAACATCGAGTCATCCTGCTGGAGATGATCAAAGTGAATCAAGTGTTTTTTTGCCTTTAAGTATAACTGTGCTGATCACTTTCACAAAGAAACGAATTCATAATTTCGTTTTCTCCATTCTTGAAAGAACCTTGGCAGCAAATTTTAGGACTATTGGCGGTTTTTCTAATATTACGTACGTGTCCAGCCCAGCGTCGCGTAACCCATGGACTTAGCCGAACCGAGTCTTGTGTCATTTGGCCATATAACATGCAGGCTACACGTGACCACAACCCCATGGAATTGGGGCAAACTTGCGAGGTTGTCAATCACCGAGTTTGATGGTAGCCATCAGGTATAACTATGAATTCAAAATCGCAACGAAGGGAATAATTATTTTAAAATTAGTAGTCCGAAAGAGCTTAAGATTCTGAGATCGCCGGACTTGGGACTTTCCTCAAACATTCTGGGCGGGATCCCGATACCGTGGGCATCATATTTCAGGCGAAAATACTCCTGAGCCTCTTAAGATACAAAATTTAAAATCCTCAAAATTCTAAAAATATATTTCCGACCTCGTCGGCCGTGGTCACGTCAAGCGACAGGAAATTTTTGACAATTGGAACACTATTCAATTTTCCGGGTGCCAACGCAAGTTTAAAATTGAGCACGATGAAGGGACTCGAAGATTTTATCGTAAGCGAGAGAGGGTACCAGTAGGCACTCAGACGCCCAGCGAGATCGATCTCGTCGCCCGTAGTAACTTAAAGCGGCAGGAAATTTACGGCGCGCACTTACATATCAAGCGGGATAAAATTTCTAATAATAGATAAAATAAAAAGCATGGTCCGAACCCCGCCGCTTTAACACTGGGCACACTGAAGCAATTCTACGATTTTATGGTTCCTGAGGGAGGGTTATATAAAGCATCCGGGTGCGCAGACAGATTGGGGCGCTCGCCGACTCATCAAGCGGGATAAAATTTCTAACTATAGGTACAAAGAAAAACATATTTCCAGTACCGCCGCAATTATACATTGAGCGGCATGAGTGAACTTTGTGATTTTTTGGTTGCTGAGGGCTGGTTATATAGACCATCCAGGCGCCCAGACAGATTGGGGCGCTCGCTGACACATCAAGCGGGATAAAATTTCTATCTATAGGTACAAAGAAAAACATATTTCCAGTACCGCCGCAATTATACATTGAGCGGCATGAGGGAACTTTGTGATTTTATGGTTGCTGAGGGTATATAATATGGTATATAAAGCATCCGGGCGCGCAGACAGATCCGGGCGCTAGCTCACACGTCAAGCGGGATAAAATTTCTAATAATAGGGTCAATATAATGACCCGGACTTTCAATTTTAGCTACCACCTTTTACATTTTTCGGTTCACCACTCATGATGCATAGAGTTTCAAGCACACTCTCCCGCGCAAAGGAGGATGCGAGGGTTAAAGCCCGAATAGACACTCGAAACTCGCAGAAGGAGTACTCCTCATGGTTCCAGAGGTCGACAGCATTGCCACCCGCTGTACCCTATCCAGGAGTTTCATGCTGCAGTACAATAAATCCCAGGAAATATAATCCGTCCTGACAAAAAAGGCATTTTCTCCCAAATACCAAAGAAAAACTGTACTCTAGTCAAGAATTGCAGAATTTATTGCAAATTAATTGCACACCATCTGCTGTGCAAGTTACGACTTTAATGTCTTAACTGAAACTATTTACGTATCATCATTTGATCCACGGCGAATATGAATCTACGTCAATTATCGAGAATGTGATTATCTGAGCACAATCGATACCGACATCCCACATCCGTCACAGCAATAAGCTTGACGTTATCCCCGGTTCAGTATTATCCAATTTAGTACTGCGAAATCAAACTACGCACTATAAGTTTCTTGTCTCGATCAATTATGACTAATTTCTCAATGACGATGGTATCACCGGCTTTTGCAGATAGTAATTCCCCCAAAATATGTCACCACGCCCTTCGACCTCGAAGGGGTGGTCCGATTGACCCCATGAGTTGATAGGATCCTCCCCTGGGGACCTATGTATGATGCCCATAGCCGATTTCGCTTATCTCGATCCGTCCTCACGTTGCCCTTCATTGTAAAGCATCCGGTAGGGTGACATATGTACTCCGTGCTGGTATTGAATTGGTAATAATTCCTTACCGGATTGGTTATAGTCTGATTCTGAATGGTACAGATTTCAGGACCACCTCATTGCTACGCCATATCGATCGATATTACCGATGCCGGTAGAATCAAATAGGTACTCCGTCCAGTAATGATTCGTAATAATTTAATACCAGTTGCCTAAGAGTGTGCTGACACACGGGCAAAGTCTTCGCATAAAATAGCTGAAGGTACGTAATAATTAAACACGTGTTTCAACATATTTCATAATGCTCAGTTTAAACGAAATTATGATGAAATTTATTGCTAGAATTAGTGTTTTTCTCCCTCGCGATTAAAATTTCATGGTAATAAATCAATTCTTTAAAAAAAGCTTAGGTGAGGCTTGCTTAAAAGGGGAAAACAAGCTGTTATCATCGTGTACTAAAATAATGTGGTGCATCAGTGTTTATCCCAGAATTATAATTTTCGGTAAATATCCCAACAAATATTATGCATGAGCGACCATTTGCCTCACCGGGGGCCGTGATCAATTGGTTGATACAAATATACCTTCTTGACATATATATTGATATCATGTATTGATATGAAAAATTAACACTAATTAAACTCCGTCACTATTTGATTATAATATTATCTTTGATAATCAGCATGGATATATTTCACATTATTGATGATGGACAAAATTCTTGAAATTCAGTGTCATAAGTTTGACCATTAATCGATTATATATAGATAACGAAATTCGATGAGTCTTACTCAATGATCAGAGCAAATTACTCAAAATTAGGAACGCACAGGAATATATTAAATAAGCAACTAATTAGATTACTCAACCCCAATTACCACATTAATAAAATTAAAAATTTATTTCAATTGTTTGTATTACAACACGGCCCCCGGTGAGGCAAATGGTCCCTAATGCATAATATTTGTTGGGATATTTACCGAAAATTATAATTCTGGGATAAACACTGATACACCACATTATTAACCACTTCACCCCTGAGAGACGAATATTTTCATACCTTTCACCCCCTAGTAACGGCGAATTTTTTCTTCCCTTGACCCCGAAATTTTCACCTACTGCATGACGTTAATTACTGAGAGATGAATTGAAAAATGGTGTTCCCACCGGAATTATTCTGGACACTTTTTTATGAAAGTTGATGCGAATAACCATTTGGGAACGGATTTTGAGTTGTAATTTGCCTTTGTGCATTTTTTCGAACGACTAATGTTTATAGCCGAAAATAGCCAACACGCCGAATTAA